CAAAAGGTCAAGAAAAGAAGGTTGCATGCTGCAAATAAATTATGAAGACAGCATTTTACTGTACGGAAACACAGAAAATGAAAGGTGGTTTAGCAGCTCAGACGCTCAGTCTTTTCAGTGAGCTAAAAGCAATGGTTGTTTACAAAAATATGGGATGAATGAATTTTCAGTGTTGTGAAAGTACAGTCAAGTTCGTAAAAAACAAAGATTTAATATTTGACTTATTAAATAGTTGTCATCCAATGGTAAAAGGACAAATGCCTTCCATTTCTAAGAGAAACGAAAGTGCAGTGTACAGTCAAATTGATGAGTTGCATTGTTTACTTCAAAAAGTTTAAACTTTGCCTGATGCTAGTCTGTGTGGAGATCAGCCCCGAAGATGCCCTGTATGGATTTTTCAATGACCTGTTAACCATTAAAGGTATTGCCCAGGAAATGTATATGTTGGGAAACTTAAATACCTATTAACTGCAGGCTTAGCCAAGACCATTTGAATTATTTTTTAGTTTCTTTTACGAACAAATGAGGTTGGTCACAGAACTATTCCCAATGCTGCTACAAATTCCATACAGTGTATAAAAAATGATTTAATTACTGGTCATGTTCATCTGAGAATGGCAATGCACATTGTTGATAGTGAAATGCTTACTGAGAGCGTTCAGACTTTTGAAAAATGTAAAGCACTTCATGTAGTAGAGAACATGACTATGCCAATCCAGGGTATTAGATACTCAGTCTTTGTTGAAAAATGTTGTTGAATACATTGCAGGAGTTTGTGTATGGAATTTCAACAAAAAATTAAATGTGCTGAATGTCTTGGATGCTCTGTGGTTCAAAAACAATAGGGAAAGCCAAAATCAGATATTAATTGCCATTGAAAGATGTCAATGAAATTCCCTTGTAATCCTGCACAGGGAGTGATAAAACTCTTGTGAAGATTTGGAACAATTTTTCTAGAAGAAATGAGGTAATTTTAGTAAGGGAAATCAGAAAGAGCTGCTAAAATTTCATACTTGAAGTGATGTCAGTGCCATCGGATTGCTCATTATTTGATTGAAGATCATATGCTTACAGCTAACGGGTGGCAGCATGAAATCTCTCATTTTGCATCTCTTCTAAAATTAATTTTGAAGCATTATTTTACATGCAGAAGTTCACTATGTTTGTAAGAAAGAAATCTGCAGAGAATAAAAGGGAAGAATTGTGAGACAGATGTTTACAAAATTAATTTTATTTAAAATTCAATAAAAACTATCTAATGTAAACCTAATGAAGAACTTGTGTATTTTCATTCTGAACATACTTACCTTATTACTTGTTATGTATTCTCTTATATAGACTTATTTTTTATAAATGTCCTGCAATTTTTTTGTAATTTCCGTTATTAAAATATTACCCCCATTACCAATTTTTATTTTCACGTGAGAACAGTAGGTTTCCGGGTTGCGTAATTGGTACAGCGCAAACTCCTCAATCAAGTAGGAAACCTAAAATTATTCACCCAAAAATATACAGAAATTAAATTAATGAATGTTCACTTTTTTCACTTTATGTTATAACCATAGCAGTATGAACCTCTTTAGTCTGATATAACTATATTTTATTCCTAATTGATTATATTTAAATTCAATTTTGTTTACATTTAATTTTATATGAATATAATTAATGGACATTATAATTTAAATAGTTTATATAAATTATTTAATTTTCAATAAACGTTACGGTGCAGAGTGTATTCATTTCATTGAGCATTGCATGCAAGAAAATTTGAAATCCCGCACAAAAGTTGACACCTTTAAACATGGCGGACAGTGGCTCTACTGTTTCAAAGATGGCGGTGCTATTGCCATCTATATATATCTCTAACTCGTTGATTTAGACGCGAGAAAGAAATATTAAACTGTTAGGAGCGCATCAGTCAAGTGACTTCAGATTAACAAAGGTTGCCGAAGAAAGAAAAAAAGAGAATAAACGTTTTATCCTTCTATAGATATCAGTGTTTTCGTTAAGGGCATACAAAATAGTAAATGGCCAAATGCCTCAATAAAAATCCTACCTTTGGCTTTTTTTGTGACTGTTTTTGATTTTTGTTCAACCGATAATGACCGGATTAAGTGGCTTTGAGCATCAATTGATGTTTGCAGTGCCTCTGATTGGGAGGGTTCGAGTCCCAACAAAGTCATATTGCAGAAGTTTCGACATTAGCTACATAACTAGGTCGAATTGAAGGACTGTGTACAGTAGCGGCTGCTGTGATGGGTAGTCTTCCGTGGTTTCTCCGATCAACATCAAAAGAGAGGTCACAACACATTCAATTAAGACTATAGAGAGTGGATAACGAGGGATTTTGTTCATGAATCAGATTCAAGAGGCAAATTCGGAAATCAATCAACCCACAATTAGTTTCTAATTTTCCTTTTTGTATTGGATTATTATCTTTTGGGGTGCTTCTAACTTCATATTGCCTGCCACTGATTCTTTTATCTTTGGTTTATATTTAAAACTTTGCCAATTATTTATTGTTTTTAAGTAGACCTTTTTATTTAAAAAAAATGTAATGCCTACTACAAGAATAACGCATTATAGTATATCTTCTTATAGAAATGTGAGTAACCTTGTGTATCTGTGTCTTTCAGGTGGCTCTCTTGTGCATATTGAAAGTACAAGAAACAGGACAAGAAGTGTGTATTGCTACTACACATCTGAAAGCACGTAGTGGAGCCCTTTTATCAACACTAAGAAATGAACAAGGAAAAGACTTATTGGAGTTTGTTAATGGCCATGCAGAGGGACGTCCTGTGATTCTATCTGGGGACTTTAATGCAGAACCTATTGAACCAGTATACATGACATTATTGTCTAATCAAAAGCTGCATCTTGCGAGTGCATACACAGCTTTGGTAAAAGACAACACATCTGAGATAAATCAGGAGAACATCAATGTTCATAACAGCATTAAATGTGAACCACCATACACTACCTGGAAAATACGTGAGGAAGGAGAAATATGTCACACCATTGACTACATATTTTATTCAAGAAAAGCATTTTCAGTCGAGTCGTTGTTGGAATTTCCAACAGGGGAAGAAATTGGAAAAAATCGTGTCCCTTCAATGTGTTACCCATCTGACCACTTCTCTTTATGTTGTGATTTCAAGTTCATGGACAATAGTCGTACAAGATCTTGAATTTGTGTCTAGTCACAGTATTTATTTCCTTCCAGAAAATTATCTGTATCATACTAACCGAATAAGTGTATAGAAGTGGTGTACTTTATGTTGTTAATATGGTAGGCTCTGATTAATTCAACTTTGGATCATTTTAATTATAAGATATTTCAAGAAAAGCATTTCCAGTTGAGTCATTGTATGTTTTATTGAAATTCTTATTTAAACTATATTTCTGATTGTATTAATTTTACGAAGTTTACATTCAGAAAGTTCAGTCAAGATTTTATCATTCACAAATAAAACCTTCATACCTAGCAATTCTGAGAAATAATTCTTTATAATTATCAGGAAGTTCCTAACTGTTATTGGTTTAATTGCTCTACATATACTGGGAGACATGACAGAATTCTTAAAGAGGAAACGAAGCATCAGCCGTGTACAAAAATAAATTTTGAGCATTGAACCTCTGGGACTGGCAGTCACTAAGTTGAAGTATGGAAGATTTTGCCTTTTAATTTCATAAACACAGACTGGAATGAGTTACTATTATGTAATATTATTGTGATTCAATAAATTAGTTTCAAAAAAGGGATTTGCTGGTAAATCTACATTCAGAATAAATATTTGTTATATTCCTATGGAGTTTGAATTAAAAAGAGTCCACTGTACTACACAAAAATTGAGTGTTTATACTCTTATATAAATTTGTGCCTTTGTTGTTTATTAACATATAGATTATAGATGTTATTCAAAGAAAGCGAGTGAAAGAGAGTAAATATTCTTTTTATAAATATACAGATATATGTTTTTGTGTTGTTATTTTTTTAATGCCAGTAAAAAGTAAAACATCAACTGTAAAAAAATAAGAACAAAATGTTAAAAAATAAAAATAAAATGCAATTGGAAAATTCAATAAAAGTTTTCCAGTACAGAATTCTCTGAATTGTATTTGCTTCATTTCATATGTACATTATTTTCCTTTACTTATAATATTACATTTTTGTGAATGAGCATAGCTATCAGATAAGCAGGGGAGGATGGGTAAGTTTGGAACACAAGAGGGGCATTCATTTGAAATAGGTTGGCAATTTTGTAGGTAGGAAATAGGTAGGCAGATCATTTTTCCTGTCACAGATGGTACAATAAGTTTCTTCATTGACGTTGTAGTGAAGCACAGGATTTTCTTCCAAGTTGTGTTATTTTTTATTATTGAAGTAATTTAGTAGTGGTGTTTGTAAACTCATTTCATGTCCGAATTGATACAGTTAGGTTTTTTATAATTTATTATAATGTAGATTGGTATCAAGATGACCTGTATGTTAGGGGTTTATATTTAGACGGTTTCGACTTATTGGGCTTTAAACCATTTTGTCTACATGTGGGAGGATGGGGAATCTGTGATGCAGGAGGTATGGCATCTGTCTCAAATCTCCTGCTAATATTATTTTGTGTGCAAGTCTGATGTAATATTGTTTTAATCCTTCAACACAATTATTGAGTTAATATTTCATTATTTCTGATTGTCAGATGTACATATGTACATAATAGTAAGAATTTGAAAAGAGAATTGGTGAGGAAAAATTAATAACTACTAATAGCCCCGCACCTACTGGTTGCGCCAATGAAGGCCCTGTGTTAAAGTGTAGGGCCAAAGAGTAAACGCAGTAATGGTGTCAAGATTGTGTCATGGTGGAATACTGGGGAGGGTACCAGATGCCTGAGAGAATGCTTTGTCAGAGCGCTCTTTAGTTTCAAAATGATTTCATATTCATCAACATTACTACAAGATCTTGAATATTGAATGTCATTAATAGGAAAATGTATATTCCTAAGATATAAGATCTTTTTCAATGATCTGGGGTTTGTGCAACATAAGCCACTGCTCACATTCAGCCAAAGAGACCCCAAGTTTCATTGTAATGAAATCTTTGAGATTAAAAGAATTTTTTAATAAATTATATTTAACTGTAATCCACGAGAGTGTAACATCTTCAGATCAGATTTTCATTAGTAATGGAGACAACTTGGTCCTCAAATTATGATTTATGACTAAAAAATGTTCAAATCTTCTGCAAGATGTATCTGGTTGCTATCTGCATATTTTAAGCACAAGAACAATGCCTTTAAATTTGATTGAGAGACAACTCATGTTAAATATATGAGAATGGGGGAACTAATTGGGGATGTAGTCTGTTCGGATTATCTGAAAAAATGTACCAAACACATATATAGGATTGAGGATAGGATATATAGATCAGACACCATGCAAGGTAGTGTGTGATGTAAGAAACGTAGGATAGTGACATAAAGTGGCAGTGTTGCGAACAACTGAGTACAGAAGTACGTATACAACCAATCGCATGCAGTGGTGGTTGCTACATTGTTTAGAAGAGTTGAAGCATAGTGTCGTACGTACAATGTTCAGCAAAAAATGGGTTGACTTACACTCTGTTCATGCTTTTTCATTCATAAATTAAGTTAATATGAATCAGATGATACACCGTATTGTACAATGGCCAGTATACCATAGTTATCAGTGCAATATACGATTCATTTCCACAACTTGTGTTGCAATAATTGGTTGTTCAGTTCTCCTGTAATTATAAAATCATGTTTTACATTACAAATAAGCATTTTATTTATTTTGTTTATTTTACATCCATCCCAAATTTTGTTTGGATTATCCGAAATTTCGGATTTGCAGGGCTGGGATTAGCAAGGTTCTACTGTGGTGGAAGTGAATAGTTGAGGAAGGTATACCCTCCCAAGAAAATATATCTGCTCCAAAAATGATCAGTGGAACTGTACCAGAGTAAATAATGGCACACATCCACTAGCAAAGGTGTACCATAACTAGCACCTGACAGTGCATATGTGAACAGCTCAAAGTACCTATGGTAAGGAGAAAGGCAGAAGGGTGAGAAGGGCTTTGGTGGGTTTTACTGTTTTATCAAGGGGGGGGGGAGAAGGGGGGAGAACACTCAAGTCTTCCAGGCAACTTTGCGTGATATTCTCTTGAAAGCATGAAAGCATGCAGTGGACGTTTGCTCTGAGCTCTTCGCTAACCCTGTATTTACAAACATTTTATCTTAATACTTTTTACCAAGGGAGAGTTGAAAATGTCCATCATCAATAAGATGTTACAGGCTATATTTACGTAAAATTTTAATTTATTTCATTTCCACTTGCTCTGTCATTACGGATAAGATTTTCCTCCTCGTTCTCTTCAAAATTGTTGTCTAATTCACATTCCAAATGGGATTCTGACAAGTATATACTAATTTTGTTACTGTCCTCTGCCATAAGGAAAGACTGATCAATACTACTTACTAAAAGTACTACTAGAAATATTTTACCATCGTTAACAATGGAAAATAAATTTGAATTGTAAAACAAGCCTCATTGTTGAGTAATAATTATGTTTCCTATAAAAATGTTGGTTAGAATTTAGACCAAGAGAAGGTCATTTTGTGTCCACCTCATGTTTCTGATTTTATAATTTTCTTGTGACAGTTACTAACTTTACAGTAATTATTCAGCCACAAAATTAATACTATTTCTGACACAAAATCAGAATCTAGCGGTTTGAATTGCATTACTCCAATTTGTATGAGAGTTTTACAAATGTGTGGACACAAAATGACCCTCCTTTGGTCAATAGAGGGTTACAATAACAGATCTAACATGTGAACATACTTCTATGACGGAGTACAACAGAAAAAAAACTTTCTCACAATATAAATTCAAGTTACGAGATGACAACAATTTTTTTTAAAGTGTATGAGCTAAAATTATACAAAGATCTACAGCCATCACCTAAAAATCTCTCACGATATAAGTAGTTTGATAACGGTGTTCACAAAACAATATTGAGAAGTAAATTGCATCACAAAATAAATATGTCATTAATAAAGTAGTTGAGGGAGGGAGTCGAAAAATGTTTGAACTATTGCAAATATTAAAATTCCATATATTTTAATGAAAATCAAACCCAAACCATAAGCAAACATTGTTTTATTCAAGCATGAACTATACCGAAAAGAATTGGAGACATTTTTGAGAATTTGTCGTGGTTTGTCATGCAAACGGACCTCGCTAGGGGCAGGAAGCCTGGCGCCGCGCATGCGTACTTCTACAAAACGCATGGCATACTTCTACAAATGGCCGCCCAGCAAGGGCCCCCCACGAGTGAAGTTGCTGGTGGTTTCATTGCATTCCAGGTAGTTTTGTCGTGGCTTCGGCCTAAATACCTATGTATGAGCTGAGATACATGTATGTGAGAGCTGTCGTGCATAACACGGTGTACATGTGAAGACGTATCGAGCAGTAAAATATTTGTAAAAAAATATTTTGCTGTCCTTTTAGAGAGAGGGTATTGTTTCTGTCTGGAGAACGGGTTTTGGATTATCAGTTTGTTCTCTGTGTTAAAGGTATAAAATGTTAAATAGCCAGCTTTTATCTGGTCACTTTCGTTTTACTGGTCATTGTTATTATTATTATGTATTGTAACTTCGAATGAAGCCAAAACGTCTGTCCGTCTGAACAACGCTAGCGGCAAAATCGTTCAGCCGATTTTCTCCTAAATTGATATTTCCCTACCGATTTGGCTGATATCGCGGCCCCTTGAATTTCAAACCTATATTTTAATTTTGGGGATACTTTATATGAAGCCCCTGGGACATTTTCAAAATGTTTAAAAAAATGGTTCCATCGTTTTTGATTAAATTTTGTTGTTTGTTAGTGTAAAGTAAAGTTAGTTTAAAGAATGGTGCAAGTCTCATTTTCGTTAAAAACTGATTTTTATAAAATTTGCAAAACTTCAAAATTTTTTCGGTCCTTTCCTACAATTACAATTATGAAGATAGAGTTTTTTACTTTCATGAAATGTGTTCCTTAAAGGTATATTTTGAAACAAGGCCGTGTACAATTTTTCGAATACTTTAAAGTACTTTTCGCGTAATTACGTGCATGTACAGAAGAGAAAGTACGTGCTGTTTTAGCGCCACTAGTTTCCATTTAATAAACTTCCATTGTTATTTTCAAAGTATAGAAAAGCAGTTCAAAAATATTATTTTTTGCAATACAAGATTTATGTAATGGCTGGCAGTTTACAATTAATTATTGTTACGTCATTTAGGACGTTGTGCATAGGAAAAGTCATATTACGGAAAGGACGTGGAAAACATTGAAAATTTGTGCCCGGAGTAGGACTGCTGCCCTGCATGCTTGCAGTGTTGCCAAATCGAATGTAATGGCCTCTAGTAAAGAATGGTCGTGGCCGAAGCCTTAGGATTAGGGTTAGGGTGTTGCAACCGTGCGGGGGCTGGAAGGACCCGAAAGGCAGATGTACAACATTCCAGAAGCGTTTTGAGAACTCGGAATTTAGAAAAGTAACAGCAGCCAGATCGAGTGGCGGAACCATCACGTGATGTTGATTGCAGCGCTAACGCGGCTATGACGACGCGTGGGCTGAGGGTAGAAAAGTCAGAGCGCGAATAGCGGGGGTGGGGCCCGAGCAGAGCGGGAGACCTCGCGCGGATGCACAAAACTTGCGCCCAGGGTGTGCGTTGACGAGCGAACCTCGTGGGGCAACCCGTGGGTCGGCAATTCAGCTTGTAACAGTGGGCACGTGGTGGTATGCTGTGTGGGTAGGTCTTTTATTAGTGGCGAGGCCTATGAGCGAAGCAATTCATTGCATGTAGTTAGGGATCGCTCATGCGATCCGGGGATTGTCTACCAGAGCTATAAATAAATATTTTAATTTATTATTGCTTGTAAATGCAGTAGTCGCCCGCGCATCTTCGAAGGAGCCTCTCAAGAGAGGGCGACCGAAGCAGCCGCCTCGCTGGGCTAAACACCGCAAAGCGCCACACGCCCGTACACCAGGCCTAGCCAGCATTTACCCCAGCGGTGTATAAACAAATACTATAGAGACAATACAGGACACTTCGTGATATATCGAGAAACACTGATGCCAGCTCCATCTAGTGGCAGAACCTGGTGAAAACTCATACAGCCAAAGCTCAGTGCTCTGTTGGTGTTTGTTTTGTGTTCGATTTTTTAAAATTTAATTGTCTTTCTAGTTTATCAAATGTAGATGAAAAGTATTAATTAAGAAACTCGCGTATTCTGACTAAGCAGTATGTGAATGTCATTTTTTCTACCATAATGAATTAGCTATTGTGGCGTCGTTAACACGAGGGCCAGAACCGTTAGGTCGGTGAAAGTACGCTGCGGGGGAGGAAGGGGTTGAGCCTGAACTTCCGGGAGTTTGCGCTCTGGCGGGTGACTCAGGTAGAACCGCAGAGCCAAAAATACCGTAGGCTGTAAACTCCGAGGATGCTAGCCTGCGAGCCTCGCTTACGGAAGCAGGCAGCCAACCTGAGAATCCTGTGTGTGGGCGTAAACCTCGCGCCAGCCGGCGAGCCTATCTATGGAACAGTGGTGGGGGTGTCAGCCTCAACTATTTAACGCGGCGCCATCTGCGCCCGGGTTCTCATTCAGTTTGCATCGGGAAGCTTGTACGCGTGTGAACGAGGAGTGTAGGAGTGTGGGCGAGATGTCCGGAGAGTAAGGGCCAGACAATCTCGCGTGCTGTAGGCACACGGTCGCCACGACCGGGTTAAATTTTGGCGTCAGGCCATGTGACGGTAATTGTCACGGGACCGAGGTCCGACAGCGCGCATCACGCGTGGCTTGTATTTTCTGCGGTAAAGCAGGGTTCTGAAAGGAAAAGGTTGCCGGAGTGTTTTAATATTAGCAATTCATTGTAACTTGTACATAATCTTTAATATATTATTTTTCTTTTGTTATTGAAATTTATTTCTTATTTCACTACGTCACACTATTAGTTTGTTTTCTAAGAATAAGTATCTTTTCGATAGAGACTTTTTAAATTGTTTACGTCACAGTAAACTTGAGGCCAAAAACAATTAATGCAAATCATTAATATTCAATTGGAAAATATTGTATGTAAGGAGTGTACTAATTTGCATGTAAGCAGAGGTATAATGTATTGATAAAGTGTTTTTTAAAGAAAGCAAATGAAAAATACCAAATGTATCACTGAAAGTGATAAGGCAAGAAAAATCTTGCATTTTACAACCATTTTATTCTTGGAATATATAAAACATCTCTTTTGTACATTATTATTTTCCATAATTTAAGCCATTCAATATAATTAAGTCACAAAAAAAGTAGGTAAAAATGAGTCTTATTTCGTGAGGTCAATTAAAATAAAACGTATTTCTTCCGTAAGAATCATATTGATGTCTTTATTTGTTGCTGAAGCACCGGGTTCTGACACTAGGAGCGCTAGTGGGAACATATTTCCATCGGTTGCGTGGAAGAACGGGGAAGTGTCCTTTATTGTCTCTAGAGTATTTGGTATAAAGCGGCGCCCAGTGAGCAGTGAGTAATATACTCTCTGGAGCAGAGGGCCAGTCCAACTACTCATCTGAATAAACTGCAAGTAGTTCAAAACGAATGTCTCACGGCTGCCCTCGGCGCCCCTAGAAATACTCCCAAAGGACTCTAAGATTTTACATATGGGGGCAGAAGAGCATACAGAAGGGATACACCGCGGCGGATACGGCAAATGAGCCGAGAGAGTTCGCTCGCGCCCCGCAGAGCACCAGGCAGCACTAGCACACTAAAGAATCCTTAGTTACAAAGCTGCGGGACGGGGAGATCCCCCGTACAGAAAAGCGTGAAATGCTTCCGTCTGGGATCTTTATAGTCAGCCTCTCTGACACACCCACCGCCCGCAAGATTTACCGAATCTTGCAAATTGGGAACTTTCGAGTGACTGTCGAAAGAGAGAAGCAACCACGGAGGCTGTTCTGTGCGCGATGCTGCCGGTGGAAACATGTCTACCATAATTGCGAAAACGAATGTTTTTGCGAGCTCTGTCGGGGCATTGAGCACACGGCAAATTTGAACTACAGCCAGAACGCTGCAACTACGGCGGGCCGCATGTCGCGTCCTTCGCCGGCAGCATGCACTACGGCCTACCAGCGAGCCCTTCAGGTGAAAAGCGGAACGCAGCCGAGAGGCCAACGAGTCTTTGTGTGTGGCGCCTCGGCTGCCTGGAGAGCGAGAGGAGCCCGGGGACCCCGCGCGGGGGCTGTCTCTATCGAGACAGTTCGCGCACACGGGATGGTTTTTTTTGACACTGCACTGAGTAGTGGCTCCCGGCCCAAAAATCACATTTGATTCGGTAGTTATTGTTGTTTTTTGTATGTCCGTAGTCGAAACACACTTGTTTTTTCCGCTTCCCTGTAATCACTAGATGGTTGCATATTTTTGTTTATTTGCAGTACAGTTTCCAGTATCTCGACGCCGTTAAATTCAGCTGCGACCACTAGTATTGGTGTTCCTTCTTTTTGTAGTATGGTGATATTTAACATTGAGAGATGGTGCTGTTTAAGGTCTACAAATATATCCTGTTCAGTTAGAGATTGATGTAGATTTTTGAACACAATGGAAAACTTTTTATTAGCAGAGTCCTTGAATGTGTGGAATTTTCGTTCGGTGAGAATGAAGTACGTTATTCGTTTCCGGAAGTTGGTAGTTATTTGCACTTATCTTTATATCTGTTATGAAATGATTGGTAGCATTGGTTTTGAGTTCTTATTATAAACTGTTTTGAGATTCAGTATTTGTGTTACATACATGTGGACTTTTACTGTTATTGTATAGTGGTCGGCCGGTTACCTTTGTGTATTCAAAACGTTTTTCTTCCAGCTGTTGACCTAGTTTTTCAAGTACTTTGAACCTGTTTTTAATTTCAACTCCGTTCTTTATCACTATTTGCACTGGGATCGGAAGTGAATATTTTGGGCTCTTGAGGGCTTATATTGTCGCTAACCTCTTTTTTTGGGTTGCTTCCATGGTGATTCAGGTGTTGCTACACGCTGGGGCCTTGTAGAGCTGGGTTGTTACCGCCGCGCTGTCCTGGGTCCGTCGTTGGTGCAAGGCTGGGTTGGCGAAACTCAGGGTCTTTTGGGGAGGCATGCCCCCCCCCCCCCAAAAGGCCAAGTTTTCGTTTTCTCACCATTATTTAGCAAAATTGATTTAAATATGTATGTTCGAATTATATAATTATTTAAACAATAATGTATAGAATAGTATCTACAGTATCTAAATAATATACAACATAATAACAAATGTTTATTTTACAAAAAACAATGATGGTCCCGTCCAAAATGATCGGCTGGATCCGTCCCTGATATTTAGTTCCTGTGAGGTAGAGATACCGCATGGCCAAGTTGAAACTTGTCTAGCAGACGTCACGTTATTTCAATCCTGAACCTCCCTTACTTCGCGATAGTCCTTGTCTGATCAGTGATATGGCAAAATTATTTGCGAGTATAATCAATAATTTCTTTCAAAATTCAAAATCTAGAAAAACCTATACTCAAATTTGTTTACTAAATGTTTAAATTTCTTCTTCAAATCTTCCTGTGAAAGGTTGGTACCCCTCAGAAGACTACTCTCTAATTGCAAATGCTCAGATACAACAGCTGGACATTCTCAGAACATAATAATTAGAAATTAGTAAAGACATGATAAAAAGTCTGTGAATGAGAAACTAATGAAAATGAGAAGAGATGTGAGAACAGCTTATGCATAGTTGAATGTTCAGAGCTACAAAAATCTTTAAAAGCATTCTTGAACAGTGCAGGGTACTTTGCTCTAAATCCAATTATCCTTGAAGAAGATTAATAATAAATAATATATAACAAGAAAGTTAATATGCAACATTTTGTGTACGCATTTCCCTGAAAATTATAAAGATTAGGAGTAACACACACAGAAACACTAAATAATTTTAAAATGGTAAGGTCCAAGTCATTAATTTCACAACTGGCAATATTTATTTTATTTAATTACATTACATTTCATTTCATCGCATTATCACAAGACAAAGTAGTTGTAAAGTACAAAATTTTTCTCTATTTATAATTTTGAAAGTATGGCTTTAAAGATGCTTCAGTTACTGTCTTGTGTTGGATCCCAAGTAATTTTTTCAAATATGATAATTCACAGGGTTTATTTTTGAGACAATCACAACAGCTGAAGGCACTAATCCTGAAAACAAAACACAATTTAGTAATTAGTGGATTTTCTTTTTTACTTACCAAAAACAAAATGACCCTTCTACTCACCTAACACATCCAAAGGCTTTTCATAATCCTCTTCAGAAAATATTTTCTTGGGAAAATTAGTCATGAGAAGAAAATGGCCCTCTCCATCAGTTCGATTCATTTCCACATACAATCTTACAGCAGATAATTGTTCTTTAGCACCAAATGTCTGGGTCAGAGCTTGCCCATTAGTGAGTCGTATCTAGAAAAATTCATACATCATCATCATCATCATCATTATTATTATTGTTGTTGTTGTTGTTAATAATAATAATAAATAAATAAATTTTAAAAAAGTCAAGATTTTGAAAGTGAATTTTCAGGAAGTGAACGTAATTCACTAACAATGACTACCACTGGCCACAGGGTGACTCCATACACCACCCTGGAAGTTACGAGATAACAAGCATAAATATTATCATTAAATTCTACCATACAATATCAATTTGTTAAATAGATGTTGTAAGTAATATAAGTAAGATAATAAGAGTTCAATGATATCATAATTCTTGCTAAAACTAAGCATGTAATACTTCAGTTTAGAAAACTGAAAAGAATTCTAGACCATAACAAAATAAGCTGGGAGATTAGTGCCCCAAAATAATACAAGATAAACCAAGGTTAATCATACTAAATTCCCCGAGAATAGTGTATACAATTTGATAATTGGTTCATAATTAAACTGCTTTATAGTTGACTTAATTTGGCAAATTTTGGTTTAATAATATTACAAAATTTCCAAAATACTAAAGCAGTTCATACCCACAGAAAAAATTAGTAACTGGAATTTTATCTTACACATTCACTTTCATTTTTGAAATCAGAATTTCACACCAAGACGATTTGAGGATGAAGCAATATAATATTATGTTTGTATTCTTTATGTGCCCCTTGGGTTTCTGATGGACAATGAGCTAGGTTTTTCTGAGGCAGTCTCAAGTTAAATTCCTGGCCGAGGCAAAAATGAAGCTGTAGCTTACTGTTATAAATCATCTTGATTTCTATAGCTAGGTAATGAAAGAAAACTCAGGTAGGCCAAATAAGGTAGGTACGGTGATGGGAATACATCATGATCATTACGCCTCCCTCACCTCCAGACATACGTAACAAATAAAAACAAAGCCCATGCCTGAAAACAAGGAACACTGTTAGCTGACAAAAGTCGGATTAATCCAATCCCAAATGCCAAATACATACATACAGTCAACTCTGGTTATAGTGAACTTCTGGGGACTAATACTTTGTGTTCACTGTATCAAATTATGTCAAAATTAAATAGAATTTCTCCACAATTATTAATTTATTTAATATAGATACAGCAAAATACATTAACAGCACCAACTGAAAATTTCAATATCTTTATTTCACCTTAAAAAATAAATTATTTTTGAATTGTTTGTTCCATACATTTTTCCTAATTTCTCTAAATCATTGTTGAGTTCGTGCTCCCTCCATAATTTATTCTGCTGAGTCTAAGTATTGTAACACAGTTTTGACACCCTTTAATGCCTCTTGCACTGTTGGAACAGTGTCCCACTCTTCGAAGGCCCTTTTACTCAGATAATGACGTACGAGATCCTTTTGGTATTGCACAGGACATATTTCCTACATTCACTATAGGCCAAGATTCTGAATTCACTATAACCAAATCTTCTTATGCTTATATGTAATGCAAGTGAAACAAGGCCAGGGACCTACGTTTACTATAACTGAAAGTTAACTATAACTGGAGTCAACTGTACGTTCTTTAAGTAGAAAATACTGAATTTCATTTTCTTATCATTAGTTTAAATTACAAAGCATGATGTTATACATGGTATACATGCATAGAATCACATACATAAAGCTGAAATTTTTCCTACACAAGAAACGTACATAAGAAATTTGAAATTTTTCCTACATAAGAAATAAAAGTTCCTTTGATTGTTTGGTGACTTATCCTGCTTCTCTTAAAAAAAAAAAATAAAAAAAAAACACTGATTTTTTAAGTTAATTTGAAATTTTTAGTAGTTCCATACTTTTATTTTTCAATTGGACATCGACAACATTAATATTTTCTGAATTCGTGCTTCGTGAATGTAAACGTTAAGGTGGCTCCACACATTCGGCATTCGCCAAGCAGCGAGCTACTGCTCGCTCAATCCCGAGCAGCTGATGAATGTGTTCGGCGAATGTTCGCTCCCTTTGATGTGTCCTAAAGACCGACACGCGGTGGGTAGGGCGGATACCGAATGTTCGGCGGTCGACGAATCGCAACCAACCCGTCCACACTACTCGGGATTTGCTGTATGCCGTGTGTGTGAAGCCGCCTTTATACTGGCAGGAAACAGGGCCCACACTATCCTTCGCCCTTTGGTCTAGCGTACATACAGGCAGGAAGCCTCGCAATTGGGTGAATGATGCAACTTTTTCTGCAATATTTGTGGACTTTTATGTATTATCACCACAGCAACGTCTACAAACAGTTTTGAAAAAGAAACCTGATTATCTCTTCTTGGGATTTAACTTATAGATCAGGACAAATCTTTGGCACCATACATCGTCCATGTAACACGCCTCCGCAGCTGGACAAATGGTAAGAAATGTACCATGCCGTTTACCATCTAATGATTTGGAAGTAATCTTCAAATAATAGCGACCGCTATTTTTGTCTGACACCTCTTTAAGTGGAATGTTCCGCATGGGGACATTTCGCTAGGGTCGGATTCACCGAACAATTACGGGTTCGTACGATTTTGAATCAGAAACCTGAAGCAAGGGCCCACTCTCAGGTACTACGTCCTCTGCGCATTGCTTAAACTTATCTAATGAAGAATTTTCAATGTTAGTGAGATTGGATGAACGTACACGTTTTACCTTATTGCACTTGTTATCAGCTGCAGAACAAATTTACACGATTCTGAAACTTATGGATGAGTGAAAATGCATTCCATTGCTCCTCGACATCTTTGCTGATTTAAATACTCTAAAATGGAAAGGTACTGAGTGCGATAAAAACAAAATAATAGATACTAACAAAGAAAGGTCACAACTGGATGTCACTGAGATCTAAATAAAACTTGGTGTGCTTGAAAGACATCAAAAAAAGGAAGGAAAAATAGTAATAATAAAATATGAGGTGCAATGGTCAACACATGATCTCATTAGATTACATTACCCACAATCCTAAATAATAAACGTCTGTTGCCACTAATGAACTTACATATTCTACAGGTACATGATAAATGAAGAAACTACAGGACACGGAATTACTTAAGAGATCTCCTTTGAGAAGTAAAGTTGGCATGGTTTTACCATTTGAAAATTAAATTATATTTGTAGGCAAGGAGAAACTTCATCATTTTAAGACCAACCAGGCAAGGAAGGTGGTATCTGGGCACAGCCAGCAACAGATGTCAATGGCGACAAAGTATCAAAATGGAGCTATCTGTCGGGTACAATTTACTATTAGTTTAAGAAGAGCCTTGGAATCAAAGGAAGACCTCATCCCCTCTGCTGCCAATTTTCTCTCAATCTCATTATTTCAGAAAGTGTTTTGCGTCACTATAGAAATTACCTTCATTAGTAACTAAAGACAATTAATATAAATATTTATTTTACTTGTAATTTCTCAATTACCCCGTATTTTCTTTAGTTTTCAATAATATATTTTTGTTTAATGGTAAAATGATAGGTTATTTATTTATTATTAATAATATTTTTTAACCGAGCGCTGCGGCTCAGCGCATAGCGCTATGGAATCGCAATCATTCGGGTCCGGTTTCTATCCCCGGGCCGGCCACCCTCATCGGGGTTTCCGTGGTTTCCCTAGGTCACAAGGCGAATGCTGGGATGATTCCAAAAGCCATCACTCAGCAATACTCAGCATCGACTCCGCGGCCGGAGTCAGTATTTACTAGGCTGTCCGGGTGAAGCCGCTATTGCATTACGCCCTGAGGAAGGTCGCAGAATGGCGACCGAAACGTCGGCACCTTCGCCATGGACGCGGCGTCACCAGGACAGCCTAGTAAATATTGTGAAGACCTATCAGTAAATAAAGATGTGTTAACACCTCATGTCTGGTCACATGCAAGTAAAAATTTCAAGCTGTACCTGAAGTCTTGTGTGCGTATACTCCTTAGATGAAGGTGGAACAGGCCTTTCATTATGTTCTTGAGCTGGAAGTGGTACAGAAGGGGGAGACAGTGGTGAAGTTGTGCCAAATTTTTCCTTCCTAGCTATTTTGTCTTGTTCTATTTGTTCTTTTACACGCTGTCTGGCAAGTTTCTCTTCAAGTTTTTCTCTCTTTCGTTGTTCCACAAGCTTTTTCATTTCCTGCTCTTCTAACCTAAATATTGAAAACACAGTTTGTAAAAAAAAAAATCAAGAACAAAAAACAAGTTATTCATTAACAAATCTGCATTGTTATTGTTGTTATTATTATTATTTTTTAATTTGTTGCGTCTACCTTGAAGCAACGTGTCACTAGACCCCTACATGGCATTGAGCGCTTTAATTTGGAATAATCCTCATATTTGTTTTAAAAGTCTGTCCAGTCTCATCGCTGTTAGTTGTCAAGAGGGTCGCTAGGTAGTATCACCGGGTACGCGCCTACTACCATGCGCTCCTGCGGCACTACCCAGTGGCAAGAATGGGGAAGGAATTATTTCAGGGTTTAGGACGCTTCACAGGGGTTGGCCTAGCCCCTGGGAAGCAGGCAAAATCGTTTTGTTCTGACAAATTTCATTTGAGATTCGACGGGAATTGAATCCGGAACTCCTTGGTGAAAAGTGAACGACTTCGCTCCGCGCCACGAGAGGACAAAATATTAATTCAATTTTGAATAAATGGGAAAATGGATCTTTGGATGACAATATTAATTCGAAAATATCAGATGAAAGCTGAATGATGTCGGACGAGGGAGGGCAACTGCCCTAGTCCTACACCTTTGACCTTAAACATTTTGTTATATTTTAAAATTTTCTTCGTCTTTATCCAAGCAACGCGTCTTTAAATCATCCTTGGGCGTTGAGCGTATGGAGGAGTTACCCTCCGTTTAGTTTTTTAATCGAGTTTTGTCACGTCTCGGTCAGTCTGTCAGTCAGTGCCTTTTATCCTTTCGGTCTGGGGCTGGGCGTCTTTAGTAACCAGGAATCCGCGGGATAATTTAGTCTTGAATTGCTTTCGTAATATCCGGGAGAGTAATTAAGCTATTCGGATAATGACGCCGGACCTATTATAATATTACCTAATATTGTTTGTACCATTATAAACGAAAATATTACTATAAACTAGAGGTGCAAAAACAGCTCACACTTTCTCGCATTCTTGGAAATACGATAATACGTTACGTAATATTGAAATATTGTATTTTCTGCTGCACTAAAACCTCAGTTATAACTTGAAAAGTAAAATTCAACGAATTCAAACGAAGCGCCTGAGGTACCTACTTGCGTTTATTTCGACAGCCAGAAACAGTAGACACTTCTAACTTTAACAAATAAAACAAACATGAATATATTTAACTGTAATACACATAATACAGAAAGGCAAGAATAATTTCATCCAAGTCTACTTTGATTACATTGACGTTCGTTTTAAGAAGTTTACTTTAATAAATGTGTTTTGTTAGTTCGAAGTTAAATTTATTAACTTCCTTCAATATATTTCCTTTCATTATAATATTTTCTACATCATACTGTAACGGTACATGCTGCGGCGAATTCGACGTAGTATGTCTATCAATAAAATCACGGGCATCCGGAGCGGTCACAACGGCCATTGGGAGGGCGATACCTGACCCCCGCGCCCCCTTCCCAGCAATATTGAGACGAGGGTCACTTGTCGACAAACCGCGCCCCCGCCGACCTCTCAAGAGGATGACTCTCTCCCCCCTCCCCCACGCCACTGCATGTCAAAGAGACCCGACGTCAATTACACCCATTTGGGGAAACAGATATACAACACAATGAACTTCGGTGCGCGCGTGCGGTTTCGCAATTGGGGTCTCACCGCCATTTTTGCCGGCCGCGAGAGAAAGCTCGCCTGCGGAGGCAAACGTCAAATTTTAGGCTGTTAGGAAGGATCCCGCGTCATTAGTCGACGTTCCTCCCCTCTCCACCATGCTCCGCGAAATTCAATCTCGTACACTCGGGAGGATTCTCACTGGAGAAGAGGGGGGTACCGAGCCTTCATGACTCGGGAGAGCAGCTCTCTCAGAACTTGCTTCAGAAATCTTGCAGAGGGAAGTCGAGCCCTCAGAAATTACTTTAGAAATCTTGCAGAGGGAAGCGGGCCCTCAATAATTCATCTTAGAAATTTCGCGGAGAGAATTTTAGCTCCGAATCACATGAGATTCTCGCGAAAGGAGACATAGTTCCCGGGGACGAGAAGTATTCTCGCTGGCCGTGAACTGCATTAGCCAGTTATCGATGCACAGTAGCACGCTGCCACGTGCCATAGGCCGGCTTATCCCACCTACGATAGTCGATCGTTCGCGATTACCTGATCCGGGAGACGGATGATTTCTGATCCGTCCTCGCCGACGCGAGCCGTGGGGATATGGAGGTCAGTCCATCCATGAGTCTGGCCTAAGGAAGAGGAAGACGAGGACGGCCACGCTGAAGTGCGGCCGTGATAACCTGCAGCGCGCCGGGGGCGACCCGCCCTTGACGCCGGTCAACAACCCCAACAGTTGGGCGTGCTGTACTGCCACGCCAACAACAACAACAACAACAACAACAACGGGTAATCATTCCCGCTAGAATGCGGAAGAACAGTTCCCGAGCGAAGCTAGAGAGATGCCATCATCATCAATATTCATGGCGGCCTATTAATTGGATTAGTTTTTATATCGAATCAACCAATCAAGTTAATTTTAAATTTAAAAAAAGTTCAACGTATTATACTTGTAAAATGTCATGTAAAATTACCCATCACTCATGATCATCATTCTAGATATTCAATGTTTATTACAATACAATCATCAGTGTCGACAGGAATAAGATGAATTCGAAGAATTCATGAACTTGTTGCGATTTTGCGAACTGACCTCGCGTCAAACGAAGAGCGCGAAATTTGAATTTACAATTCCTATATTTGTTTTGTTTTTTTTACAATTTTTGAAAGTACAGAGAGTGTGCTGAAAATTTGACCATGCCCACTACCTTCACAGTTCTTTGCTACATACGAGGAAAAAAATTCAAGAGAAAACTTGGAGTCGTTTCTGAGAAAATAATTGCTTAAAATTTAAAAATTACCGACGTTAAAAATACTCATATTTTCGAAAATATGAAGATGATTTTATTTGAAGACGTTTGTGATGGACACAATTCATTAAGAAAAAATCTTCATAATTATTGTAATTGTAAGAAGACGCCGAAAGTTTTTTTGAATTTTTGCGTTTTTCGAAAAAGCAGGGACTTCCAACGAAAACAGACCTGCGCCATTCTTTTAAGCGTCTTTTACTCTATACTTTAATCCGAGGTCAAAATTTAATCAAAATATTTGGTACCATTTTTTTGGCACCAAATATTTTAATTAGGTAGATTGAAAAGGTGAAAGAGTCCTAGGGTCTTCGTGTAAAGAAAGGGTGTTCAACCTGGGTTCCGCCGAACAGGTTGGGTACCTTAAAACATTGACAGGAGTTCTGCAAGTGATCACTACATCCTCAGCCAAATAACAGGTAAAATGGAAATCTATACAAGGAAGTTTTCATGTAGGACCGCGGTAAAATAATGAATTAATATATTTAAGTGAAAATTAAATATTAATATAAAATAGTAATCAAAAGCAATTCCTTGTACAAACATGAAAGACAGTTTAAACAATTAAAACTAATGATGATACAACAGCAAGCACTTTCACGCGATATTGCTAATAACTATGTAATATCGCAATATGAAAATCTCTCTCGTACACTTCAATTACTATTTGAAAAATTCTTAAACAAACGAAGCGTGAAAAATACTGATATGTTTTTCATTCAAACATTTAAACGAAAACAGCTTTCTGTGAATTGAATTCAGTGTATTCACGTTCCACATAAATGCACCAACGATGCGTATTTTAGCCGTAAATAAAATTATTAGTTTATATTAACGCAAACGAACTGCGGCCATCATTATCGCCTTCTGTTATCAGTGAGATGTTACAACACACAACAAATATAGCCGCTTCGTATGGGTACAACATTGTGCAAATTAGCAGTGTTGAAACTTAACAAGAAAATGAAAAAGAATACAAAATTTAAAAATTAAATGTAATACTGTTATATTCATCAAAACTACTCGGGTTTTACGCGCATAACTCTTCATACCCACATCATATAAAGCAAAGCAAAATCATCTATTCATTTTTTGAGACATTTCTGTTAATTCATAATTTCTATTTTAATGTCAATATCTAAAGATGACTCCAATTGGCAAATGCAAGTTAATATTAAGACTTCTTTCTAATTACATTTACTTAGAAAAGAAAAAAAACAATTAGTATTAATGGACCATCTCAAAATAAAACTTTCTTACTTTTTTTTAGCAGCCACCATTTCTTTTCCAGATCTAATCCGCAATTTTTCTCTTTCTAAGGCATCTTTTTTCTCCTTTTCTTCCCGTTCTAGACGTTTCGCTCTCATTTTTTCTTCCAACTTTCTCAACTGTTCCCTTTTTTCTTCTTCAGTAAGGGGTTTTTTCTCTTCGGTTGATTCAGAGAATGAATTGTGTTGAGACTTAGCTGCATGGAATTCCATTTCAGGTTGACTTTTAAACAATTTCCCGCATCTGTTAAAAGAGAAAAAATGTCACATTAGTTTAGACACCATCATGCATATAAGTAACTATGATCTATTTAGTATCAGGTTTTCAGTCAAAAACCCATTTAATCACAAATCTATGAAATAAAATTGACTACCAACAATGAAAATTAGGAGAGAAAGAGGTTCGATTGATTATTTTGTTTCAGGCGCGACATGTGCTATGGCCATTATTCACATACGTGTAACGCGTGTTATCTCGGGAGATGGCGATTTCTCCCCGGTGGATGGCGAGATCCGGCGCCGACCTACCCTTCGACTTGCAGGGTTTTTCCCAAACACAAATATTAATTGACATTTCTCGGAAGTATGGGTTTGTTGTATCCCTCAAATTTGAGCATGAGTTCGCTTTGACAATATCTTGCAGATATTTGATTTACTTGTCCGCGATGTAAGTAATAATTCCTACTGATATTTCACAATCGCAGGGGCAATACTTGTATGCAGTGAAGACAGATTAATACTAGTCTGTGCGGCGGGTTGCGTAGAGTTCAGGGGCGTTTGAGTCGTCATAAACAGGTAAATCATCAATCCGCCCGCATGTCCGATTTAATCCAAAACAGATTTAATCCATTTCAGCGAAATTGTTCGTGTAGTTTTTGTGTCTATATGCAACACACATACGCACTTTCCCTTTTATTTATATAAAAAGATATATCCAACTTGATAACGTACCTACGTAGTGTAGCGGTACAGAATTATTAAGTTAAATTAAATTGAGTAAAGCAGACCTAAGAAATTTTTTACTGA